ATTAAAAATAAACTAATTAGTAGCATTCTTGAGCTGTAGTTGGAGGCCATGATAAATCAGTCCAAGGGCCACAAATGGTCCCTGCGCCGCATTTTGGACACCGTGGTTTAAAAGCTGATCATTTCCCTCCTGTCTGAACGTATTTTCTGTTTTTTGGTTCGTTCTGTGTGTCAGTGAGGTTGTGAGGAACCAGCAGACCAAATGTTTCTGAAACATTCAAACTGGTCTCTCTGTCAGCATCAGCCACGTTTTGCTCAAAGGCTCTTCAACCCTTCGTTCTGTTTGGAAGCTGCTCAGTTCAGCAGGTTGGATTCCCAGGTTGGATGTTTGAAGGCTTTGAAATGCTGCTGCGTGATTGGCTGATTAAGTTTACCAGCAATTCAACTGGCGTACCTAATAAAGTGGACTCATCCAGCCATCCATCCGTCTGCTGGTTGGTTCATCCATCCTTTCATCCATCCATCCATCCATCCATCCATCCATCCATCCATCCATCCATCCATCCATCCATCCATCCATCCATCCATCCATCCATCCATCCATCCGTCTGCTGGTTGGTAGATCCATCCATCCATCCATCCATCCATCCATCCATCCATCCATCCATCCATCCATCCATCCATCCATCCATCCATCTGCATAACGTTTGTTGGTTTTCTACTTTATTTCCTTGTTCAGGACTTGAATATTTTTCTCAGTTTGCTGATTCGCATCAGTATGAAGGAATTATGTATTTATCTTGTGCTCTGGCTGGTTAATGTCTCTGAAACTTTTTCTTCTTTCTATTTAACTTTGCAGGTAATTCGTTGCAATTTGGACCCAATTCTGGTATTTTATTGCGACAGAAACTCAATACTTCACCACAGGGGCAGATTTTATTGATCACTTGTTGGGCGGAAAGTAATTGCTCCGCAGCAAATGACTAATTTAAACTCTTAACATTTTGCATGTGATAAATTCAGATACAGCTAAAGGTTCTGAATCTGAATCTTCATCTGCAAGTTTGTGTATTAGCAGGAAGAATAAACACTCAAAAGTATAATTATTTCCCGAGGCGCTTTCTTTTATCGTTATTAAAATTTTGACCTTGTTATTGTTTGCAGCCTTAAACTTTGGTCAAAGTTCAACAGATTTAATTATTTGGCTCACCCTGGATAGTTTACTGCAATGCACCTCATAAATGCAGTAATCAAGTCCTGACGAAGCAGCCTTTAAACACGTAACTTCAATCTTTCTCATGCTGGAAGATGATATAAAAATAAAAAAATACATACGCTCACAGACTAACCTAAGCATGATTATTTATCTGGGAATGTAGTTGAGTGTTTATGAGGGATTCTGTGATATTGGGCAGCGATCAGACGGGAGATTAAGTCATGAATAATTCAGCAGCCAAGCTGATTAGGTCTGTACCTTCAGGCCTTGGTGAACACTTTTCCACACATAAATGGCTTTTGTATGGAAATGCAATTCATTTCCATACCGTCTAGAACAGAGGCGTCAACCTTGATTTCATTTTTTGCCGCATTAAGATCACAAATGTTCTTAAAGGTCCGGTTGTACCAGAATGCTTTGATAAACCCGATAAATGGTGAGAACTGTCTCTGCATTTCTTAAAATCTAATCATATTTAACAGTTTTTCACATCGATTGAATGCCTCACCAATTTTTATCCGATAAATTGCTAAGTTAAAAATATTTTCAAGGAATTTTGCAATATTTGCACTTATGTATGACATCAAGTAAGACAGAAGTGTGGAAGTAAAACACACTGCCACCTACAGGTGGGAGTTGGCATCACTGGCATCACCTGTTCTTGACCATTTTCTGGAAAATTTTCAATGAACTCACAATTATCCATTAGGACAAAAAAAAACTAATGTGATTTATTGATTTAGTGTGAATTTACATGATCGTAGTTAAACTGGAAGCACTGACTGAAGTAACTTCACAGTAAAAAGATAAAAACCACTTTGATCTGATTGATAAAATAATATTTAAGCACACAACTGTTATCTTGAAGGTTTTATTCATACATTCCTCTGGAGTCCAGAGGGCCACATAAAAAGCTACCGCGGCCCGAATTTGGCCCCTGGGCCTTGTGTTTGACACGCTTGTCATCAGGTTGTGGAAAAAAAAGATAAACCTATTGTTTCAGTCTCAGTCCTTTAAAAAGAAGTTCATGTTTATGATCAGTTTTTTGGCTCCTCTTCATTTATCTTTTGTGTTAATCGTGGTGAATTATCGCGACACGTTACGATTGTTGGTGGAAACTGATTTTGGCTCCACGTCCACCAGGCATCCCCGTCGGCCCTGCCTGCTCTAAGGACTAATACATTAATCACATTTATTATCGGGGCTCAAACCAGCTGCCAACTCTTTACAGTCAAGCCGATGCTTTAAGCACCAGCTCCATTAGCAGATGATATACGTTCAGCTGGGCTTAAAGGGAGAAAATATGAAAGTCATTTATGATTAGATAAACTTTCTGGTCCGGTTTGCACAAGCAGCTGGGTCTTAAAGTCAACTTGTGGCTCATTTAAACTTTAAGAACTGATAATTTTACATTCCTATGGCTTTCTGAATCTAGGGTGTTTAATTTTCCTGTTTCTGAGTTATGTTTTGTTTTACAAGTTAAAATAAAAGTCGCATTTGGTGCTTTTTTTCTGCTTCTTTACCTCCATATCACAGCTTTTATCTGATGCTATTCACCTAAAATTTAGTGCTTAGCTTCTAATAAAAGGTTTGTATCTGATAGATCAGATAACCGTACATGATCAGATCAATAACTTGCTCTTATGATTGAAATTCCTTGTTGCTGAAATTTATGGAGGACCCAAACTGACATAATTAAAAATAAAAGCAGAAATGTATATATTTTTTTATTTTCCTCTTCCTTAGACATGTTTTCAAAGAAATGAAAATATTTTATTTTTGTCTTCCTGTTTTGACAGTCAGTTTTGGTCCTCCATAGAAATTTGCTGTACAGATAAAATTTGATTAAATTTTGATTTGAAAACATTTTTGTTTTTGATTATCAATAAGCATTTCAACTTTGTTTGGATTTCTTCTCCTTCACTGTAGTCATTGCTTTTTGTTTCATGAAGCACAGAAACAAAAAAAACACGACACACATCTCTATAAAAAAAGAAAAGAAAAACAAAAAATCTGTGACAAATGGCAAACAGTTGTTACTCATCATGTCTGTTGGTTGCATAAAAATCAGGTCAGGGGGTCTGTTAGCTCAAACGCACCAATAAAATGCAGGTGGTGTGAGGCTCTGTTTGCAGCGGGGATCTTCGTTGCCCGCTGTCACTCGGCATGTGTTTACATGTGTCGGGGTGGGTGGTGGGCTGCAGGTCTCGGCCCGTCTGTGCTCAACAGCTGACAGACTCGCGTACCGGCTCCAAGCAGAAGGCCGTGCCCGAATCCTCGGACATTTGCACCAACACACACGCGCCGGAGCCCGATCAGAAACGTGGCTCGCCTCGGTTTGGTATTCAGTTCACGCTGGGTTGGGGTGTCCGTGGCGATGGCGGGTAACGTGATACACCGACTGTATGTGTGGTTAACCCTTCTGACCTTCACACTGCAAAAACACAAAATCTCACCAAGTAATTCTGGTCTAGTTTTGGTCCAGACCTTTTGTCACGTGGGCCAACCCAACATAAAGTAGCCCAATTTTTTCTATTTTTAAGTTTTTCTAAATGGTAATTTTTGTAGTTCCAAAACTTGAAAGGGATTTTTACAACAATGTATTGGGACCATTATAAACAAACAAATAAATAAGCTAAATAAAATGTGGAAGTAAATTTTTACCAAAAAACTTGTGATTAATTCCATACATCTTCTTGGAAAAAATGTGGAAAGTTTCAAAAGTTACAAAAATTGACATTTGAAACTACAATTTCTGAGATTAATCTCAAGATTTCTGAGTTTTTTTGGTGGAAATTCACTCCAGTTTTTTTTCTCTACAATGATCCTAATACACCATTTTAAATTTTATATGTTTGGTGTATTAAGATAAAGATGTTGTTTTCAGTTTCTTTTGGGCTTGATTGACTTTATTTTCAGTAATTTGGATCAATTTATTTCAAATACTTGCTATGTTTAGCCACGTTAAATGAAAAATAAAAGTTGGTTATTTGACTTTCCAGGAAAAGTCTCTGGATAAATATAGTTTTACCTTTTTGTAAAGGTTGATTATATAAAGACAAATGCTTTGTAAGAAAATTATGTTGGTAATAAGTTTACTCTGTTTAAAACTCTGAGAGCAGTCTATCTTTAAAGTAAATATCTTGGTAAACTTGAAATAAGACAGAACTAACTCACAAGCAACTTTTTAGCAAGATATAGTGGCTTGTTTTAGGCAAAAAATTCCTTAATATTGATGAAAAAATTACTTTTTCCATTGGCAGATTATTTAAGTTATAGCAAGACATTTTCCCATGTTATAAGTTAATTTATCTGCCAATAGAAATAGTACTTTTTCATCAATATTAAGGAATTATTTACTTAAAACAAGCTCCTATAACTTGCTGAAAAGTTACCTTGAAGTTTGTCTCACTTCAAGTGTAATAAAATATTTGCACTCGAAACTAGACAAAAAAATACTTGGTAAGATTTTGTGTTTTTGCAATGGACTGTATGTAGGAAAACTTAAGAAAATCAAGTTGGTGGTGAACATCAGCTAATACTCCAATACATTAATTAAAATACAATAAATAACACTAAACAAACTACTGAGAAATATCTGCCGATGAGAAGTTAATGGCAGCTAATAGCAGTCAGCAGAAGTTAGCAGTTGCAAAATTAAACATAAAAACACACTAATAATGATAACCAGTACAAATCATGTCAAAATTATATACGCTACATATAATTTAAATATGTCTAAAACATATGTTAAAATATAATACTTGTAAAGAAAATACAGAGCTTATTGTAATACACAGTTAACGAAGGCAACAGAGAAGAAAGATGGAGGAGCTGTCAGTTACTGGTTGCTATGGTAACCACCAACTGCCAAGAGCAGCGTAACAGAACATAATACACCAATAAATGTCTGGAGAAACAACTTATTGACTAAACAAAAATAAATGAAAAGAATAAATAAACAGATTTTGACAAACTTCACATCTATAAAATAGTTAAAATAAAACCCTGTTACATATGTGTGTACAGTAACATGTACGGTCTGTACGCGGCGGGCGTCGTGGGCCAAAGGGTCGCCACGTCGTCGACTCAGTGCAGCAATGTTACACCAGCAAGGCTTTCTAACAGCAATGTGAGCGCTCTGATGGGAATGCCAGGAATTTTCCTCCGCTGTCATCTGTTCACGCTGTGATCCGGGCAGAATTTCACCTCATTTCCCTTTGGGTGAATTTCACCGCCAGACTTGAAAATCAGCAGTGAAAAAGGCGTGACGGCGTTTGATGACACTTCATGCCACGGGAGGAATCAGACTGAGTGATAATAACAGCATTCGGGATTTCTTCTAATCCACAGGAGTTTAAAAGCTGTAATAGATAAGGACTTATGGTGTTTTCACACTTGATAGTCTGGGAGATCCGGTTCAATTTGGGACCAGAGTTGCAGCATTTGTTAAATTTTCAGCTTGTGCAGTTTCCTTTCACTCAGCTTTGTGTCAAACAAACCAGACACTTTGAAAACCTGTTCCCCTCCTCACCTGTGGTGGCGCTGCACCAAGAACCACTGAAGGAAACAACATGAAACCAACGAAGAAGACACTGAGCACAACTCCATTCTTTTAAAAATGTAAACAAAAATGGAGTACCGTCAGATTTTAGTGGTTGTAGGGTTTCTCTTTTGTCCTTCAGAAACGACCATTAGCCATTTCTCCTGCTACCGCTAGGCTATTGCGTTTGTTTTGGTTGTATTTACCCAGAATGCCCTGCTTTTCCACTTGGCATCCACATATACATTGAAACCATACTTCACTTCATCCAAACCAAGACCAAGGTTTGTAGGTGGACCCATGTTCGCTTTTTGAGTTCGATTACGCATTCACACAAAACAAACTTTCTATGCAAACGAACTGGAGTTTAATTAAAGCAGCCTAAATGGGGCAAGTGTGAATGCAGCCTTAGCTTACATCAGAGCCAGTTTATTCATGTGTTTTCTGGAATATTGTGTACCTGAAGACCTGAAGACATACTCGCATGTTCCGGGTTACTACTTCAATTTAATTTGCAACATTTATGCATTAACATAATGTTGGATTTGGTGACTGATTTCCTTTAGTTTCAGTTTTTTAATCCACTTGTTTACAGAGCATCAGAGTAGTTTTCTCCACCTTGTATTGAATTAAATATGGATTTTGTTTGGAAACATAACTAAGACAAGGACTTGGACGATTTTTTTAAACCTGAAAATGAAGATGCATGGTACAAAATATGTAACTAGCAACACCAGGATCCTTTGACTTTGCTGGATTGTCCAAATTGTTCATATTTTAGGCCACTGCATTAAAAACATGTTTAGATTTAAACTCCAAATGCCTTGAGTCGAACTCATGTAATGACATCAATCTATCAGATATTACAGTGTAATATGTTTAGGTCGCTGATTGTTGCATAAACAATAAGACAGACGATGAGCATTTTGAGAGCCCTGCCTTTCTCGGCCACAGAGCTGCTCTGTCGGCTCTGACCCTCTGAACAGACTGGAACCCGTCTGCTGCCACATGAATATTAAATAGCTGCCATTTAGCAAATATGGACTCTGATTTTTCTGCTGCTTTCTGACAGAAAGGGAATCCGCCTAGCAACCAGATTCAGTTTAGCTTAGCAAAACGCTTTATGCTTGAATAAAAATAATACAAAAATAATAATTCAGTGTCAGCAACACTGAAAACTGTCAAAGACTGTAGCTCAAACTGTGATTTTGTGTTTTTTTATTTGTTATTGAAAGATATAATTAAAAGATAAATGTTTTTCTTTTAAATCACTTTAATTCAGGTATTTATTGTATCGTTTATCGTTTACCGTGATAAGTTTTACTGTTTCCTCCACTGTTTGTTCAATGACAGCTTCAATAAATACACTGCAAAAACAAAATCTTGCCAAGTATTTTTGGTCTAAGTTCTAGTTCAAATACCTTAGTAAACTTAAAATAAGACAAAACTAACTTTTCAGTAATTTCTTAGATTTTATTTATTTTTTAATTAATATTAAGGAATTATGTTAAAACAGACCTCTCTATGTTGTTAAAAATAGTTTTAAGTTATTTTTGTCTCAAGTTAGTAAAACATTTGCACTAGAAACCAGACCAAAATGATTTTGTGATTTTACAGTGTACCAATACATTGGAATACATACATACAAATGTGTCCTAAAATTTAAATATACACATATGCCATTGGAGAAAAGTGAATATTTTTCCAAAATCATAAAAATACCTTTTTGGAAAATTGGTATTTAATATGTCTGTTCCATTACGAGCAGAACTTAATAACTACAAGAGGCTCTTAAGGTTAGAAATCTTGAAAAGAGTTGCAAATAATTTATGATGTATGTTGATTTCCCTGCAAAGTCAAATTTGCAGATCTCAGATTGGGAAAATTTGTTTTCTTGTTTTTTATTCTACTACTGAGTATTTTGTTTTAATAGCATTTTTTTAAACAATAGTGGGATTTAATCTTACGGAAGAGGATTAGGGTCACTGAAAAAAAACAAAACAAATTTTGACTTTAATCTCAGAATTTTGACTTTTTTTTCAGAATTTAGAGATAAAAATCAGGATTCTGGGATTGAAGTCAGAATTATTTGTTTCCTCAGTGGCCCTAATCTTCTACTGTATCTGGCAGGTTTCAAGTTGAAGGTTGTTTCCTAAGAGCTGCAGTTTTGCAAACATCTTGTCTATCCGAATGAGAGAGGCAGAAAGAGCTGCTGCTCTAACTTTTGTTGTTACTGGAGCTTCACAGCGCCTGGACCAGATGACACATAACCCGACTGGGAGGGCCGGGCTCTTTTATCAGAGTCGTGAACATCTCTGGAGTGAGTGCAAAATCAGATTTTATTAGCCGTGCGTATGACAGAGAGAAAGAGGGTGTTTGTGGGAGTTTGGCTCGCCTGCTGTTGTGAAAAGTGTGCTACTGTGGGAGTTAAGTATGTGAGTCAGCTATGAATCACGCTTTTTTCTAACAGTCCAACACAAGCACACGCATGATTTCAGTCTCGCGCACACATGGACGTACCGAAATGCAGGTACGAGCATATGACTGCGCTGGCTCATTACACAACAAACCCACACTGACATCTACAGTGATTTTCTGTCAATTTATAGAAAAACATGGGTGGAAAATAGCCTGTTTTTTTTCTACAGTAGGAGTTCTCGTAATGAGTGCAGTTTTTCTGCAGCTTCAAGCGCACGAGCAGCTCAACTAATTAGAAAAATGTCTGATTTACAGCTGATTTAAAGCAAAACATGCTTCACAGCAAAACAAGCTAAAGAATGATTTTCCTTAAATATAATAATAATGAAACTAAAATGTCTTGAATAAAGATTTCCTACAAACAGAAATTTGAAGAAGTTGGACCAACTTATTTATCAGTGTTGTGATTAAATCATCAGGTAGACAAAATTATAAATTTTGTTGCATATTTTCCATGTGCATTCATGTTTTTTATTACAAGACCCACCATGCTGTCAAATAGGAAATTGTTCTTTTTTTAATTTTTTCTTTATTATGTCTAATATATACATTTTTAAAAATATATATATAATTAATATTTTGTACAAATATAAAAGTATTAACAAACTTTCTAAAAGTTTAAAATGCTGTGCAGAAGAAAACAGACATTTCAGAAAAAAATCCCACTTGAACTTAATTTTATAATATTCCAGCAAAACAACTTTAAAATCAACAAAGAAATTTTAAAAAGTTACTAGCAAAACTACATACATTCTCTCAAACCAGTATGCAGGAGACTTAACACAACGGCACTCTGTGGAAACATTTAAAAGCTGTATGATGATCCAATCTGACCTTTAATTCTTCAAGTTAACGCTAAAATTCAAGCAGCATCCAGATAGATTGTAGTTTCTAAAATAAATACTAAAATATTCAAACCATCTTAGAAATAAATATGCAGTTTTAGCTATATTCAGTAAAAAACATTTTCCGACTTGCTAAACCTTGTAAACAACCACTATTACTTGATGGTCTGTCTGTTTACTCCCTGCTAATTTATTTTTCGTAGTTATGGGACGAAGTGATTTTCGTCATCTTGTTTTTGTGAATTAGGAAAAATCTCATTTGTTTACTTTCATGGTTTTTATTTAAATTTCCTGCACAAATAATTTTCGTAGCAAAACTATTTACTAATTTTTTTGTCTTATCAATAATTTATTAATCTACATTTTTTAAAGGAAATTTATGTTAGATGTGTTTTAAATCCAGTTATTTTCTTTGAAAACCAATAGAAAGGCTGATTTGTTATTTATGTAATTTCATTATTTCATCAATTTTTCCATTATTGCTGTAAAACTTAATACTTTATACGTTTAATTCAGAAAACGGCTCATGCAGACACTATTTTAGAAACCTTTAATATGCTGTTATATTTGCATTTGATGGATGTTTACAATGTAGATGTGCAACCTGATAATAATAAGCTTCCTACATTAAACACCTATTGCAAAACAGAACGTGTTATGAATATCTGGGCAGATTATCTGTCTAGCAGAAATGTAAGGAAGTGCAAAAATCATTTGAACTTAATATTTTGGCTGCCTACACCGCAGTAGTTTTCTTTTTTTAAAACAGATTGTTACTACGACCCAATTTGGCAGGAATGCAGGAAACAACATAAAAAAATTACCTAAGATGTATTGATGCCAAAGACACGTGAATGCAAGGATATTTATTCATGCAAATTCCTGTTTTTCTCTCTGTTGTGTGGTAGAACTGGTTGTTGAGGCGTAGCACTATTATTTGGTTATTCTGCTGTTGTATTCTGGAGGTCCTTTCTTTATCCCAGGATGCTATCGCTTATAAATTTGTTTTGCACTGGGTCGGAAAATGCATGAGTTCTGTGAGAAGGAGATAAGACCGTGAGTTGCATGAATTGGGTAGAAAGGTTTAATAAAAGCGATGGTTTTCAGACTAAAGTTAATAGCTACTGAACTCCTTAAGATTGAGGAAACATAATGGATGACTTCAGATGACAAAGGTCATGTTTTCTTTTTTTAAATGGATCCCAAAGAGAAGACATTACTGTGTATGTATATAAACCATATGGCAGCGCTTCACTGTTTAGCTGCATACTGTGTGGGAGTGTGTGCTTGCTGATGCCACTTACAATTTGACTCTTCAGTATTCAGGGCATTCACGCTCGCCCTCACTGCCAGCGATAAGCGATGCTGATTATCGCTGAACTTTCGCCGTACTGTACATTCCTCCTCTTCTGCTTCTCTGCCTCTTTCCACTGGAGTAACAATCTGTCTGCGAGAGCTGAAATTGTTTTAATCAGCTTCGCTTCTTTCACTTCTGCTAACTCTCCACTGCGACTAACAGTCGCATCACAAGCGCTGATGGTTGGTTTGGGGAGCAGGGGACTGATGTCTTATTAGAACGAAAACAGTATTAAAATTTCCACAACACTAATTGGTGAGCTGGGAACAATCTGAAATGTCAAAGCGGAGAGTGGAAGTAAGAGATGATTCAGATTTCTTCAAGTGCGGTTTTTGAAGTTATCACGGACCTTATCTCACCTGCAGCAGGTTAAGATCGGCTATGAGCGATACTAAACATGTTCACTACATTTTTTGCATAAAATCATTCTTAGATGATGAGATTTTAGTTTAGTCTGACTTATTTCTTTTGAGTTACTTTCATAATGAGTTGGGTTTTTTACTTTAAATCCAGCTCTACGTCAGATTTAAAGTGGACTCACTCATGAAAATGGCTGCAAACAGATGCACAATTATACAGCTCTGAAAAAAATTAAGAGATAACTTAAAATGATCAGTTCCTCTGGTTTTACTTCTTATAGGTACATAGTTGAGTAAAATGAACATTGTTCTTTTATTTTATGAACTACTGACAACATGCATCTAAAATTACAAGCAAAAATTTAGTACTTATTCGCAGAAAATGAGAAACGGCCAAAATAAAGAAAAAGATGCAGTGCTTTTAGACCTCAACTAATGCAAAGAAAACAAGTTCATGTTAATTTAGAAACAACAAATGTATGGAGTTAAATTTACTGTGAACCAAATTTAACTCCATACCCAGCAGTCTTTGTCCAGCGCATACAGAGGTAAAACTAGCTGACCAAACACTGGTGGAGTTCCGCTTGGGTTGCTAGGTAACAAGCTGGGCTTGGCTGGGGTTGCTAGGCAACCCCAGACGCAGTCCCTACAGAAAACATTTGTCAAACTCAAGACTCATCCAGCCCGTCATAGCTTTTTATGTGGCTCTCTAGACTAAACACTTAAATATTATGTTGACAATCAAATCAATGCAGTTTTTAACTGTTTACTGCCAAATTATATCAGTTACTTGTACTAAACAGCTGCTTCAACCTTAACTGATGTCAGATTATAGTCCATGAGCTATACAGCAAGTAACAAAAAGTCACATTTGCCGTCACAAATAAGCTCAAATATCGCAAATATTTTCAAATTGCTACCACAAACACTGATTTTTATTGCAAAAGATCACAAAAAGTATCACAAAATCCTTGAGGGACTGAAAAGATATTCAATAATATTATTTCATTTTAAGAATTCGTAGATATTTTAACAGTTTGTGATCAGGTTTTATCAATACATTCTGGCACAACCGGCCTTTTAAGAGCTTTTATGACCTTGGTTTGGCCCAAAAATGGGTTTGACACCCCTGTTATGGAATGTGATTTAACAATTGAGAAGTTTTTGAAACTGCTCGTTTTCCAGACACCAAAAATCATAAACTTATTGCCAAACACCAAGAGCTCCAACCAGTTCAACCTCTTTACATTTTTCTTTATTCTCGGTTGAGACTCTTATAAGGATAAGGATCTTTGA